AAAAAAAAAAAAAAAAAAAAAAAAAGGTTGAGAGTCCATGACTGACACTGCCCTTGGGCCCACAGAGCCAGCCTGGGCTGGTGCTGGGAGGGGCTGCCCCTGCTGGCCGAGGGTCTCTACAGCCCCAGGACGTGCCACTCCCTGACGGCATCTAGAGGCCTCTGTGTTGGGGACCCACATAGCAGCCTCAGGAAACGGCCAGTTTGGGACGGAAGTGGGCTCTGCAAGTGCCTGAAAGAGAGTCTCAGTCCATTAGGCTTTTGCTCAGGCTGCCGTAGCAAAATGCCACAAACTGGGTGGCTTCTAGACAACAGAAATGTATTTCTCACCATGCTGGGGGCTGGAAGAGTCAGTGTCTGGTGAGCGCCCACTTCCTGGTTTCTTCTCATGGTGTCTTCACAGGGCAGAAGGGGCAAAGGGGCTCTCTGGGGTCCCTTTTCTAAGGGCACTACTCCCTCTCATGAGGGACCCACCTTCATGACCTCATCTCCTCCTGCAGGCCCCACCTTCTAACACCGTCGCTCTAGAGATGAGGATTTACTGTATAAGTTTTTCGGGGGACACAGACCATCACACCACAGCAAAGAGGGCCTGGGTTTTCTTCTTCCTTTCTTTCTGAGAGTCAATTTCCATCTGATTTTCCCAGCAACACATTAATTGGGTAAAGCCAAATCCATGTGAGTAGCTGCGGTGGGTACAGAAAGGAGGGTGGCCTGAGGCTCCCCTGAAGGCTGGGGACATGAGGGTGCCCTGGCTCCCCTGCAGGCCTACAAGGTGGGTTCTGGCCTCCAGGGCCTGAGCGGAACCCCCTTGAGCCACACGGGGTCTTTACCGGGCTCCTTTCCGTGGTGGAGTTCCACGTGGCTGGGACTGGGACGTCAGTAGACCCAGGGACGACCCCAAGGAAGGGACTAGGTTTCAGACATAGGAGGAAGGGGCAGGTCCTCTGGCCCACAGGCCCGTCTGGGGCTCAGAGGGCTTTGCCCAGGCCTTCCAGGGGGCTGGGGGCTGCAGGACATGGAGGTGCAGCTGGGATGTGTCTCCCACGGTAAAGCAGGCAACCCAGGGCCGGGCATGGCTAAAGCAGTGGGCTGAGTGGGGTCTCCCAGAAAGATGTGCCCAGGTCCTAATCTCCGGAACTGGGAATGGGATCTTATTTGGAAAAAGAGTCCTCACAGACATAATGAAGTTAAGGACCTTGAGATGAGGAGATTATCCTGGATTACCCGGCTGGGCCCTAAACCCAATGACAAGTGTCTTTATGAGAGAGAGGCAGGCGGAGGTTTGAGACACAGACGCAGAGAGGAGAAGCCCACGGGAAGACAGAGGCAGGGACTGGAGCGACGCAGCCATGAGTCAAGGGACACCTGGAGACACAGGAAGCTGGAAGAGGCCAGGAAGGATCCTCCCCTAGAGCCACCATGGGGAGCAGGGCCCTGCCAGGCCCTGGATTTCAAACTCGTGTCCTCTAGCACTGTGAGTGAACGCATCGCTGTTGTCTGAGGCCACCCAGTCTGTGGTCATTTGTGACGACGGCCGCAGGACATGAATACAGTTGTGCTTCAGAGAGGACTACACAAAGCTGAGGCCCGAACCCTGATCTGGGAGCACAGGTATGTGCCAGAGTTGGGGGCACTACAGGCTGGGGAG